AGCCAAGGGCAAGGCAAGCCAAGGGCAAGGCAAGCCAAGGGCAAGGCAAGCCAAGGGCAAGGCAAGCCAAGGGCAAGGCAAGCCAAGGGCAAGGCAAGCCAAGGGCACTTGTAAAAATGCGAGAGGTGCAAGCTCCCTCCTTTGCCTTTTGTTTTGCTCTTCTTGCATCCCAAAATCGTGCAACAGTTGAGAGCGTAACGCTTGAGAGCCCCATACCTGCGCTGCCCCGGAACCGGCCGACCAAATGTCTTCAAGGCCAAAGGTTCGGCAGCTGCACGCAAACTTCTCGGCATCTTCCCTGTAGACCTCGGAATTCCGCGGAATGAGCACTCCGATTGCATAGTACCGATCCTTACCGTCCATGTATCTGTTGAGTTAGAGGATTTCCATTTTGATGCCACATCTTCGATGTCACAATGCCCATAATGGAGTCGGGACACTTCCACGAGCCACGATGTAAACGAAGCGGCCGTCTCAAAAGAACATCAAGAAGATAGTGATAGATGAAGAATGAGAATTGCAAGCAATGTAATTCTAATGAGCAAACTTTTAGTGTCGCAGCATCAGATGAAAAAAGCGAACAAATGAGATACTTTGTCGTGTCGATCGCACGAAAGCCGGGAAAGTTGTCGACGAGAAATTGCAGCTGCTCGGAACCGTCTAGCAGGTCACGGTTGTAGGTCGCGATAGTCACAAACAGATGCTTCTTTCCGCTCTTTTGCTTTTCCTGCTGGAAAGGCTGCGCATGAAAGTCGCCCCAAAATTTCGGCGTGTCCATCCCCCGCCCAAACAACTTGTCCTTGCAAGCCTTCGGCCAGCCAGTAGTTAGTTGCTTTTCCCAACGCGAGGCGTACACACGAGTGTACTTAAGCTGCCACGTATCAACCATATGCTTCTGCAGCATTTCGCGCTTGGCGGGGAGCCCTACGTTCTTCCGCCCGTCGTCATCAGACATTTTGCCGCTTTCGAATTCTATCCTACGGGCCTTCTTGTTCTTTAGTGTTGTAGTCCAGAGATGAAAGTTTGCACGTTGAGATGGATTGAGAGTAGTAGAGAGACTCACAACAAAAGCGATGACGATGAGATGGATGGAGAACGAAATACTTGTGGAGTGACACGGCAGTGCTTGCGTATCCAAAAACAATATGGCGCAAGCTTCTTCGGTACTGTAATAAAAAAAAACAAACAGATCTCTACTGTATGTTCTCGCAGTACCAGTACTTCTTTTGTATCAGGTAATAGGGCTCAAATCCAAAATGTGCCGCCTATTTTGATTTTTCAACTCGTTCTACTACCCGATCATGCGTCGAGCTACTAACAATCGCGATACGATTACGATGATCAATTGGGACTACGAACAGACACAGAGCAGATGGGGAGAAACGAGGAGAAATACGACGAAGGCTCTTCTACCCCTATTTTGCCTCCAGCGAGCACTTAGAATCCTTGCTGATCCTGGTACAAAACAAGATGCACTGTTGCATTAGCGAACGCCAACGTGGTGGATGTAAGAAAGACTGCTGCCTCATCCCACTTCTACGACCAGGCACGACTCTGCGGACGGTCTCGAAACAACGAACTACCCTGCCTGAAACACACTGAATCCTAATCCACGACACCCCAAGTGGCATTGATTTTCAAGAACAGCTCTTCTTGGCATTACGATTAATGCACCGAGGATACTAGTTGTCAAGTTCCAGCAACAGCACTGCGCAAGCACGCGTAAGCCAATTTCAATGCTAAGTCAATCTCTGGAAACCACTCGGAGGAAGTCCCAGGCGATAAAGAAATGGTCTGAAATCGACCTAAAAAATATAAGCGCGTTTCTTTTCAGCAGGCACGGCAGACGGTATCGACAATTCTTCTGAGAAATCCGCCACCGCCTGCATAATTTACTAGTCCACCCGTATTGCCACTTCCGCTCCCGTCCTCCACCTGTATGTCTTCCTTGAACAGGAACTTCCGCCAAAATTGCACCATCGCTTCCTGATACGCGTCGACGTTTTTTTTCTTGCTGAACCCGTGTCCCTCGTCGTCCGCGAGCATGTACCAAACCGCATCCCTGCCGTTGTTCCGCCTCACCTGGTTGAAGATCTGCTCTGCTTCGCTAGCCGGCACGCGGGGGTCGTTCTTCCCCTGCGCGATGAAGAGCGGGGCCTTGATCTTTTGGCAGTTGGTCAGCGGGGAGATGTCCAGCAGGAGCTGCCGCATGTCCGGGTCGGTCTCGTCGCCGTACTTCTTTCTGCGCAGTTCGCGTCGGTAGCTCGCGGTGTTTTCCAAAAACGTGACAAAATTGCTGATGCCCACCATGTCGATACCGCAGCAGAGTTTGTCGTTGAAGTGAATCAAAGACGCTAGCACCATGTAGCCGCCGTAGGAGCCGCCCCAGACGCCGATCCGCTGTGGGTCGAACTGGAAAATACTTCGTCGTGCTCTCGAGTTGTTGGTCGACTTTTGCAAAGAGGATTCTTTTTTGCTCAGGCTAGTATTCAAAGTCGTCCCGGACGTGGTCCCGGTCGCTGAAGAAGTAGGTGTCGCCGGTAAAGCTGCCGTAGATGTCATAGTCGAGCTGCCTTCTTCTGTACTAGTTATGCATTGCAAAAGCATCGCACTAGCGTGAATAGCATCACAAATAAGTAATTTCGACGGCAAGAACAAAAGTGGAATTTGTGATGCTGTTTCAGGTTTAGAAAGAGATTTGTCATGTATGTTGACTGCAATTCGTTTTCATACGAGTGCGATGCATTTGCGATGCATACTAGTTCCACTGTCGCAAATCCAGTCAATCAGCGCCCCGATGTCCTTCACGCTGTCTTCGCGCTTTTCGCAGTTGTATGAGCTGCAAAAGTATCGTATTCGTATAAATGCATTACAAATTTCTTTAGCATGACAAATAAAATTTGTAATGCGGATCTACCTTAAGAAAAAGATTTGTAATGCATGATTGCAATTACTACGAGTACGATATTACTTTTGCACAGGATAAGTTGTCCAGAGTGACAAACGTTTTCCCAAACCCGGCACTTCCCCGGACGTTCGGGTCGATGATGCACACCCCAAGCCCCACGCACAGAAACTGGTAGATGGACGCGAACCGCGGGCGGTGCTGGCCTTCCGGACCCCCTATGGATTGTAAAAGTGTCTGGGTCTGGAAGATTGCAACTTGTCATGCTGTTTTTGGACTCTAAAAAAATTTGTATTGCATGACCAGCAAGAGGGGTACAGTTTTTACTACACGGACAGGGCATTTATTCCCATGCGGAAGATGCATCAGGAAGACCTCTAAAAGTCTGCGATGCTAGGTCATGCATTACAGGCATCATGGGTCATGAGAAATATGCATAACAAATCTTGCAGTCTTTCAGACCCAGACATTTTTGCATTTGATACCCCCGTGCGGGTGGATGATGACGGGAACGCCAGGTGGTACTGGGGGTGGTGATAGTTGTTCATCTGGATAATTTCTATTTTTTGTGCTTTCAGCACGAGCTTCTTGTTTGTCACTTGGTGGCTCCACGACTTCCACCTTCACACGGCGGGGACCTCCGCCTCCGCCGGTCTTGATCATGTCTTTATTCGGGTAGTACACGAAAGCCGGTATTTCCAGCCCGTCGAAGGACTTGTAGCGAATCAGGTGCGGGGTCACGAAGGTGGAGGAGTCCAACCCGCCGATTTCCGATTCCGTCCACCGTTTCACGGAAAAAAACCGGTTCCTTTCCCGCTGAAAGTCCACCACAAACACATCCGAGGGGCTCGTTGCCTGCTGGTAGGAAAATCCGAACTGCCGTGTGTTCGCTTTAAAGGCGCCGGACCCGAACACGCCGATCTGCAGACTCTGCAGCGTGATTTTGGTCAGGGGATTCTTCAGGGGCATCTTCGTCTGGAACGGGGAGGATAGTCCCGGGCCTCCGGCTTGGGGCGCCACCAGCGCGTCACGGAGCACGCTGTGGTAGAAGGTAGACACGCCGTCCTCGTTGTACACGACTAGGACGTCCCCGAAGCTGCTAATGTGCACGTCCTCCACGTCCCAGGGAATGTTATCGGCGACGGGAAGGGCTTTTTTCTTCAGAATATCGTAGTACCACAACTGTTTAAACTCAGTTTTCACCCCTGCGTCCGTGCTGAAAACGACGCCCACGCCGTTGGGCGTAAAGCGACCGTCGTCGAGGGAAAAGATCGTAGTTGACGGGTTCTTTGCAGCAGCAGCTCCTAGTGATGATGTAGTTGCCGGGGTCGTCGTGGTACTGTTTGTTGCCGACAAAGGTGCTGCACCTCCTGCTACTACCGCCGCCCCGATGTCTGTTCGGCTCCACGTGTTCGTTTCTGCGTTTTTTTGCAGAAGGAACATTTTCGAATCGGAAACGGAATTGTAGTGCCGGATTAACAGCAGGTCCTCATGGTAAAAATCCTGGACCATCATGTACCCTACTTCTTCCGTCTGGTAAATCAACACTGGCTTCGGCGGCTCTGGATCATATTTGTCAACAACGCCAGGAGCGCCTTTGTGCTGATTCGCAGAAGCTCCTCCGGTTGTACTACTGTGCACGTCGCCGAGCACTTGGTTTTCCAAGAGCAAATACACATCGAAGTGCTTCCCGTCCCGCGCGTTGCTGCTGAAAGCCAGGGCGCCGCTCTGGCGGCAGAAATGCGGGGACCGGTTCGAGCTCTTGCCATCGGTGAGCAATTTTGCGTCGCCCGTCGCGCGGGCGAAGAGCCAAAACTGCGTCTTCTCGTCGCCTATGAACTGCAAAAGTATCGCACTCGTATAAATGCAGTACAAATTTCCTCAGCATGAGAGATAAAATTTGTAATGCTGCTTTGCCTTCAGCGACAGATTTGTGATGCATGATTGCAATAGGAGTACGATACTTTTGCACAGGATATCGCCGCCGTTGTCGATCCCGTACAAAAACGCATCTTTGTTCTATCAAATGCAAATATGTCTGGGTCTGGAAGATTTCTAGACTTGTCATGCTAAACAGAAGTGCGACACACTTTGCCTCCCCCTGTGCAAACGGCCGCAGATGGCTGTCACGCAGGGAAGGTGGGTCAGGCGGACACCGAGATGCCATCGCCATCATCTCCCGGCCACTATACCAACTCGCCAATTCTAGACTTCTTGTCAAGCATATTTTCCATGAGCCATGATGTCTGTGATGCATGCCGTAGCATCACAGATTTTAGAGGGCTTTGTGATACCTCTACCGCATGAGAACAAGTGCCCCCTCCACGTAGGACGAACCCGACCCCTCTTGCACTTGCTGGTCATGCAATACAAATTTTTTAATAGAATCCACAGACAGCATGCATCACAAGTTGTGACCTTCCAGACCCAGACATTTTTGCATTTCATATGTTCCCCGCTCGCGCGATGGCCTCGGGGGGCGGGGTCAGGCAGATTTTCACCGGCTCTTTCAGGAAGGTTAACTGCTCTATCCCCCAGAAAAAGACCGACAGGTCATATTTGTAATGCAAAAATAAATAGACAAAAAAATCTGTATTGCATGCCCTAAACAGGATGTTATGGCCTCGCCCATGACAGATTTTCCTGTGTATTTATTTTTGCATTACAAATATGCCCTGCCTGCTTTTTTCTGCGGGATATGCTCCCGCATCCCGTAGGGGCTGGAGACGTAGTGGAGTTGGTTGGAGTCCGCGAAACGCGTGGTGATGTACAGGCCTTGCTTATCCTGTGTAAAAACGTTCCCACCCCAGAGTCAAAATGGGGAATCGGCTACACAAATCCACAAGTGTTGGCTGGTTTGCATGACAAATTTGAACTCGTACTGTAGTACTGTTTGAGGTAGTTCAGCAGCATCACAGATCTAGTACAACATGCTGGTTGGAGCATGACAAATGCCAAAACGCGACTAGATAATGCTTCTCATGGCGCTCCGCATGAGAAACATTTTCAGCATGCAGATTTGCATTACAACTATGGGGTGGGGACGTTTTTAAATACGATATTGCTCCGCATGGAAACCGGCAAAACTGGCGGAACGCACCTGCTGGTACTTGCGAAGTTTTTCGCCGAGTTTCGCGTCGCGAGCCGGCACATTGTACACATGCAGTGTCTGGTCGCGGGTTTGCATCTTGGGATAAGTTTAAGTACCTTGCTCGGAGGACGAGATGGTCTTTTAGAACTGCAGGTACCACGTATACGTAACAGGGAACGCGAAAGGTACGACTTTAGTGATATTGTAAGAACCCAAGGATCATGCTTCTGCATGAGAGAAGTCTGAACTAATCGACCTTCACCTCCACCTCCGCTAAAAATTATTGTACGGATTGTTCAACACAATTGGTCTTGCTTCGCCGTGTACAGCAATGCTCTTCACTGTCTTATTTCTCTACAGTGTGTGATTGGGTTTTAATATATAGAAAGTAAAATCCCAAAGGGAAGTTCGAATGGGTTTTAATATAGGTACAATATGCTCTCTCGTCCTGTGTTGCTGATCTGTGGTGGCAGATTCAAGCAAGACCCAACTGCTCACAGACTACCAACTCTCAGTCGCCCCTAGACCGTGGGGGCTTGTTGACAGTACTCTAAGGCGAAAGGATCGTTTCAACCGTGCAGGTGATCCCCCGCTTACCTCAACGGGCAGCTGGAGCTGAAAAGGACGAGCATTATCGAAGAAGACGAAGTAGAAGAACAGTGAGCTCTGGAACATTTTGTATCGCTTGTTCTCTCCCGTCTCATTTTTTTCCAGACAGCTATATGAGCATCTTCTTCTTCTTCACAAGAACATGATGTGCTGTCTTAGCTCTAAAAACTGCTTTCTCCTTTCATTCTTCTCCTTCATTTCCTTGTGCTCAGAAACGTGAGATACGCGTTTGTGAAAATGGCTACGAAGGTTATGAACCCAACTTGCAGCTTTGGCGGGACCAGTGCGTAAGTCAGACACTGAATCATCGGCCAGATGCTGTACTGTGTTCTCAGCGCTTTCCCAAACTCCCGCTTCGCCCCGGCGAAACTTTCCTTCACGGACAGACCCCGAACGAGCCGCAGGAGAAACAAAAAGGCGATGACAAAGCTCGGATCGTAGACGGATTCGTGGATCAACACCTTCATCGCGACATTCAGTTTCGTTGAAGCCAGATTCTTTCTCGCAACAAATCCGTTCAGCCAAGTGGTCCAGTAGTGCATCACGGGTCCGCGAAAGACGACGCTGAGAAAAATTTGGTTCCAAAAACCTCTCAAAAGTTGTTGCGGATCTCGCTGTTTCATGATGACAAAACTTGAAAGAAATTCGGAGAGCACGCCACAAACCGACGCCGTTTCGATTTTCGTTTGCAACGGGGACTTCTCGAGTCGTTGGAGGTAAAGATCCCACAGGCGGCGGGTAAGAGACAGGAATAATTGGCGACTTCCTTTTGGTCTTTTTGCCCGGTCGCTGGATTTGCCGACGTCAACTCCTAAAGAACTCGATTCTACTTCGTATTGCCCGTCAACTAAATCTCCGCTCAACTTTACGAACGCTGACGTGGTGTTTGTCGTGTCTTCGCTGCTCGTCACACTGGGAACCGGGGTGATCACGATTTTCGTTCTCGTTGCACCGTTCAGGTTTATTCCGGTAGGCGGCCCGGCGGCGGTTTTGTTTGCCGGCGAAGTGGCGTTGATGATCCTGGCGGAGCGCGGCTGGTTTTGTTGGGCGGAAGATGAGCTGGAAGAAGCAGTTCTATTCGGGTCGAAGGGCTTGCCTCCCATCAGGTCGCGGTAGACAGGCAACATGGTCAATGTGTTTTTCGTTTTCCGCGAGTGGAACGTAAGAAAAAATAGCGAAGCAGAAAGCAATAGCAGAAGTGTGACTGTAAGATCACAGGACACAAAAATCGGACCTCGGAGTTTCTCTTCCTGCTACGCAAATCGAGGATCAAAAATAAATTATGAGCACCATGGCGTGCTTAATGAAACTGCGATCGGTCGTAGGATCATGGCGGCTTCCGAGGAAGGAAAAAGCGGGTAGATCTTCATTCCACAGGCCACACCACGAACGACGAGTGCAAAAAGATTACCACCACAGGGGAGCAACAGGAACAAGCACATGCGTGCATTCTGCAGCGGATCATCTCCATCGATCACGGCGGCTCGCTGGCTGACAACAAGTACTTCAGCATTTCAGAGCCTCGAAGATGAGAAAATTAATGCGGAGTTAAATGAAGCCAAAAGGAGTCTATTATACAAGTTGAAGTCGAAAGAGAAATCCAGTGAGCGACTGCGCTCCTGGATGAACGAAACTCGAAAACATTTAACAGTGGCATTTTCAGGTTGATCTTGATAGAATGATACAAAAACTCGTCAGAATATAGGATGTTTGCGTCTGATCGAAAGCTTGTCTAATGTCTACACTTTGAAGCGAATCATGCGAAGCTGGCAGAAGCGAAGCTCATAGCGTGGTGTAATCAAAACTTTGAAAGAACGAAGCTGCGAGAATGTCTACATGCGAAATTGATATTTACGTCTGGTGTTTTGCGAGAGAACGAATTGTACATTTTACGAATAAACTCTTCGACTTCTTCTACAAATACCGGCAAGAGCAAAGCTAGTCCTGCAATGTCCTACACTTGAACAGCACTACCACGGTTTACTGCTTGTCAAGAGTAACGCTAACGGCAAAAAGTTTTCTATTGTCATAACGGTCGAGCTAGATCTTTGCGTAGTAAAGTAAACTTGGATACAAACAGAGCAGAAAAACTGCCAGCGCCCGAGAGGACGAGGAGTGCGGCAAATAGAAGTAAAAAGTATACAAACAGCACCACGAAGTGACAGCAAGCCGCCCCCTATACAGTCAACTTCCACCACCTAGTGCTGCGACGACAGCTTCGGCAGGGTCTTCTGCTGTAAGAACAACATGTAGTTCTGTTCCCGCTTTCCCTGCGAGTCCTCACTGGTCGTAGTGCTTCGTCGTTTCGGGACGCCTGTATCATCCGGATTCGCTTCCAGTTCCCGCTGCCAGGCCTCGACGCAAGGAGCGAGGATGTCCGAATACTTCCAAAGGACTCCCATGTGGTTTGCGGAGGATTCACCGCGAAACAAACCGTCGTCACCAAACGCCGACACATCGCCATTCGAAATCCACTGGATGGCACCTGGATTTTTTTTTGCGAATATTAGTATTACATCGCAGAGCAGAGCAGGACATGCTGTATTAGCGTGACAATTAATTGAATCTGTTTAAATGGCTTGGAAGTAGCGTGACAAGAAATTTCCTTGATGTCAACGTAGTTCAAAAAACCACTACTAATACCGATCATCACGCCTCTTTTCGACGCCTGGTCCTGGTCGTCGGCGTTAGACCGGACTCGCTTGAAGATCGGAAAGGTGTGGATATTTGGTTTGGTCAGCTGCCGTATCAAATGCAAAAGTGTCTGGGTCTGGAAGATTCTGAGACTTGTCATGCACGTTTTGCATGATGTGATCCATGATGCCTGAGATGCATGCCCTAGCATCATAGAGTTTTTGAGGGCTTCTTGATGCCCATTCCGCATGACAAATGCCCTCTCCGCGTAGCAAAAAATGCGTTCCCTTTGCTGCTCGTCGTGCAATACAGATTTTTTATTTTTTGGAATCGAAATGCAGCATCACAAGTTCCAACCTTCCAGACCCAGACTTATTTGCAATGCATATGCCGGTTGTTGAAGGACAGAGGCAAATCAATCTCGTCGTTGTACTCCTCCCGGATCTTCTATGAGAGTGCACAACTCCCCCTCCGCTTCATTTGTAATGCAAAATCCCAAATCCAGCTCTTGCCTTGTAGCACTGTTTGCATGACAAATCCTGGAAGCCCAAAGAGCACTTCTACAATCCAGTGCAAATTTGTCATGCAAAACCGGCACTCTTGCTGATGCTTGTATTGCCGTCCATGCTATACAAATGAGGGGGAGGGGGGGTTGTGCACTGTCATATCTTCAAAATCGAGCTGTGCACGTACTCGTCGCGGAAACACAGGAAGGCGCAACTCCACGGCATCGGTAGGTACTATGGGGTTCTCAAGCGTTTTTACATTCTCAACTGTTACAACATGATTTGTCATGCAAAAACACTATCGCTCTGGCTCTTCACACGATCAAGCCTTCTCCGCATGACAACTTCTCGTCGCGCTAGAAAGCATTATAATCTGCTCCAAACCTGTAATGCAAAAGGCCCAATCTTTTCCCTTGCACTTTTGCCGTTCTTGGTTCTTGCATGACAAATTTCATGTAACAGTTGAGAATGTAACGTTTGAGAACGCCATAGGTACTCCCGGGTTTCCGGATTTGATCTTCTTTCGCGGTACATTTGGTACAAGTCGAAATTGTGGTTTTTCGGCAACCCCGTGACGTCGTACTTGCAGAGCTGCAAGTAGTTCGACTCCTTGTGCTTGATCACGAAAATCTGCACATTCAACGCCTTAAATAACTGCTTCATATGTTTCCCGATCCGGTGCATGCAATCCAGGGGCGACAACGCCGCGTTCGGGTTGCTGTCCTGGCCGGATTGCAACTCCAGGGAGGCCTCGAGCAGTGCTTGCGTTCTCCTCACCGCGAGGTAGTCGCCCTGCTTCGATTCACAAGCGTCTAAGGTGGATTTTCCGAGCACTCCAATCACGTGGAGGAAAAACTGGTCGTCCTTGCTGAAGCCTTCGTTGACGGGCGTAAAGGACTTATCGCCGGAGGAGTGGTCCACTTTATGCAGTTTGTTGATGGCCTGCAGCACGGCGACGACGCGCTTGTTGACTAGGATCGGCTGGCAAAGGACCTCTTTGGTGCGGTACCTGATATTTTCGACGTATTTGAGTCGTGCTAGGACTGCGATGGACTAGGTATAATTCAAGCGTGTCCTGTAGTTTCTGGAATTTTTCCTTACTTTTCGAGCCTCCTGGTGTTGAGAAGTGGAACCAACATGGCGAAAAATTTCGAAACGCACACACAGCATCTTATATATCATTTATCAGTAGTACCCTGTCTGCTTGTCGATGTTCCTGTTAAACCTTGGGTCCTGATACGCGTCTCGGATGTTGATCGGTTTTCCCGTCATCGCTGCTTCGCCGACCAACCCCTTGTCGATCGGAATCTTGATTTCGAACGCTTCGCCCTGCTGTGTGGCGGATCGTGTCCAGCAGAGGCCGTGAGCCTGTTTTTGGTTGATTTGGGTTTTTCTTGTTTTGATACGAAGATATTCTGTCATGCATAGTGTGTGAGTGTGAGCAGCAGCAGCAGCCTCAAGCTTGATCTCGAATGGTTTGTTCTACCTTGAAAAGAATAAAATTAAAATCATCATATTTCAAGTAAGTACCGCGTCCACCACCCAGACCGTGACTCTGTCCGCGGATAGAAAGGATTTCGCGATGTCCTGAATCATGGTCAAGGCGTGGTCTGCGTCGGTTACCTCCTGCAACTTCTATGGAGAGAAAAAAGTTTGTCAAAGTCACCAACTTGCAGGCTTTGCACTACAAATTTTTTTAGCGCCACTACATGTAAGAATTGCAGAAACACTACCACTAGGGAAATCCCTTGGCTGTGATGCATTTTTGCGCATGACAGAAAATTTTGTATTGCACAAATGCACATGAAGAAAAGATGAGTGATCGTGACGAACTTTTTTTGTTTGATATCTTCGCTCCCGCTTCCAATAATTGCTTCACCTTCACCGACCGGAAATGCAGCGCGACGAACTCTTTGTACACTAGTATCAAATGCAAATAATGTCTGTGTTTGGAACACTGCAACTTGTCATGCTGATTCTGGATCATGCAGAAGTCTGTAGTGTTGCATGAATGCCAAAAGATAAGCACTTTTGACCAAGGTGAGAGTAAGTTTCTCATGCAGTATAGGCATGATAGGGATTTCACGGAATCTGTCATGCTGGGTCCTGCATTCCAGATGACATGGCTCATTGAAGATCTGCATGACAAGTCTCGCAATCTTCCAGACCCAGACATATTTGCATTGCATAACGAGCCTCTCGCACTTATTCCTATCCGCGTCGACGCAATCCTCCAAAAATAGGTTTGGGTAATCCCCTTTTGAAGAAAGCAGGTACTGGAGGAAAAAGTTCCCCAGCGGAAAATGTTCGCTCGCGTCAAATGGCGGTGGTGGACCGAGCGGGCTGGAAGAGGAGCTCGCGGATAAAGCGGTCTGCGTCAGCTCCCCGGTAGACGGACTCGTAGACGAGGACGACGCGGCCGACCCGGTTGCCAACAGCCCCGGGCCGACTAGTTCGTAGGGTTTTACGTCAGACGACTCGTCGACGATGTCCGTCTCCTCCTGGATCCGGAAGGCCGGCGGGAGAAACTGGACTTCGCCGTTTTGGCTCGCACCGTTATTTCCATTATTTGCAGATGACGCTCCGTTTTGCATCCCTCCGTTCGGCGCGGTGGAACTGGAACTCCCACTCGCTCCGCCATTATTTGTCGTCCCGTTCATGTGATGATCCGCTCCTGTCGGTACCGGCGCGGTCGCCGCCGCTAGTTCCGCTGCGATTCTGTGCGGGTCCGACATGTCCCGCCACGCCTTCTGCAAATCGGCCTTTAACTTCTTGTTACGGACCTGCGCGAGCATTTTCTGCTTCTCGGCGTATTCCAATTTCCTCCTTTGCATGGTGTAGAGCCGCATCAGGTGCATGAATTCCACCCGCATTTTGTCAAAACCCCGCTTCCACATGTCCTCGCCGCCCTCGGGTATACCTGTTTAGTTTTGATGTGATGTACTTTTGCATGACAAAAGGGAAGCGGATTTCGTAATTCGTATGAGAAACAAAGGCAACGGCAAACACAATGAAAAGACAAATTGTAGTACGGCTTTTTCTCTTAGACACGATCTCCCTCTCTTCCGACAAGAGACTGATGTAATTCACTGAGTGTGTGATGTTGCTCATTTCCTTCTGTTTTTCGTTGTACAGACCCTTGAAGTGGAGCATCTTCGCATTTGCATCGTCCGCCTTCCCCTTCAACAACTCGTTCGCGATTTGCAGGTTCTTCTCCCGATACTCTAAATTTGCTTTGTCGTTCTGGAGCTGGAACCGATCCTTTTCCAAGGTACGGACGGTCCGCTCCGTGTGCTCCAGCTTGCGCTGCAGGTCGAAAATACGCCGGTCTTCCATACCTGCGGGAGAAGTTTGTTTTTGTCATTCGGATTTGGAACGAAAAGAACAGTCATGCATCCATCCGTATCTATTGTGTTTGTTTTGTCATGCAGAAAGCCATACAAAATCAAAAATCGCAATTGTACCAACTTGATCCAGCCGGTCACTCAAGTGCCCCACCGCTTTTATCACACTCAAATTGTCGTCCGACGTTCCTCTCAAGTGTTTCGTAATTTCCGAGTTTCTTCTCACTTGTCTTTCGATCAAGTTCTCGTACATTGGAAAAACCTCCTGCACGCCCACCTTCTCGCCCCGCATAACCGCCAGCCTTTTTCGCAGATCCGCATTTTCCGCCTTCAAAGCGTCCACTTTCTGCGTCAACGGGTCGCCGATGAGCGCCCGGAGCTTTTCCTCATTTTCCGTCTGGAGTCTTTTGTGCACGAAATCCAAGCCCGCGCCGAGGGTTTCGAAGGGAAAAAGGGGGGTTTCGCCACTGTCGAGGGAGAGCTGGAGAGTGGTGTTTGCGGTGTGGTTCATGTGGGAGGAGGCGGACTGGTCGAGCTGGGGCAGGCGGGACGCCTGGCTCGGGGAAAGAGGGGAACGGGCGTCGGGCATGGCTTGTGGTGTTGGGCTAGATAGAGACTAGATGATGTATCTCTTGCAAAGGGCCACCAACCCAGTTTGTACCACAACCAACCTGACCTTGAAAAATCCTCTGCCCTGATTGTACCACGACACTGAAAAAATTATTATCATTTTCATGATCAGTTAAGAAAAATCTTTATCAATCCAAAAAATGCAAAGAAGAAACGACTGCTGCGGATGTCCGTGAGGACCACTGGTCCTCCCAGGAAAAACGAGATCGCGTTGTGCTAAGCTACAAGTAATATTCCCTCGGCGACATCACGACAAACGATACGAAGATCCCCATCGAACATGACAAAGATTGACAACCGTTTTCAAGCAACGAAACATATGAGGATCTGGATCTTCAACAGAAGGAACCGAACGACCCAAGGCTTAGTGAAGGCGCGACATTGAAAAGAAAATGATCAACGATGTGCAACATGCTCATCTCAACGAAACGACCAGTACACCCACACAAGTAACACTCACACTGCCGTGGGCATGACCCACGAGTTCAATATCTCGCACCCACAAGTTCAAGTACTTACTTTCTTTAAATCTATTGGAGCTGGACTGGGAGCAGGAATCTGAATGAGTACTTAATCGAATGTGAGGCTGCTTGCGGCAAGATGCAGTTGCTGTATCATGTTTTTTACTTATTTCCCGCCAGGATTCTTGCCATCCTAGCTTCATCGCATTGGAACAAATTCACGGCATATACACCACAGGCACTACGTCGCCTCCTCCATCCCCGCCTACCGTATCCGCCACCGTCCGGTGCGCACCTCCACCTCTTCTCTGTAACACTGCTAACTTGGTTTCTGTTTTTCCCTTTGGGCCTATCTCGAAAACATCGATCGCATCGCGTGCTAGCTTCTGCTCGTCGGAGAGCATACTGGCGAGGTTTTGTTTCGAAGAGGATGTTCTAGCGGGCTGGTGTTGATCTTCTAGGCTGAGGAGGAGGATGTCGCGCAAGCGCTCTCGTCCAGATGGTTTCCAATCGCGGTGGTAGTTCCGCAGCGACGTACTCATGAAACGGTCTTCGTCTTCATCAATGCTCCAGTTTGTGTTCGCGTGGTAGTCGAGCCAGGGCGTGATAGAATCTCTCTCGGTCCCGGTAAGTGAGGGAACATAAGAAAGTGCGACACAGTGATGATACGCGTCGGTGGGATGCACATCATCACACCGCGTCACCGCGAACCGAAAAAGCGTTTTGTTATTGTAGGACCAGATGATCAGATTTTTTTCGAAAGTGCCGGTCGTGACGTGTTGGTAGCCACGCTGTTCGTATTTAGAATAGAAGTTGTGATCCTTTTCTGTAAGCACCAAGACCGGCAGTGCGCATGACGTCTCCCGCGTCGTACTTTCTGTGGAAGAAGAACTCGACCCGTGCCTCGACAGCGGGACCGCTCCCCAGCTGCCACGGAGTGCTTCCGAAACGAGGCTCTCTGCCGAAAACTGTAGAAATTTTCCGTACTGGTCCGGTTTGTAGTGCGCCCGTGCTCTGGTTTCTCCCTTGATCTCAGTGCAACACACCGTCATTTTGCGAGACGTTGCCAAACCCAAAATGATTTCTGCTCCGATTTTTGCTTCCTGGTTGCAAAACACCAAAAAGTCGACGATTAGCATGGCCGTTGCTGGTCCGCCGTTGTCCCGGACGTAGGGGAAGTTGAAGATGACGATGTCGAAATCATGCAAGCCCCTTTGCCTTTCTTGTCGAAGCATCAGTTGTATGGGATCGACATCGATTAGCGCACGTTTGGTGGACTTCTTCAGGTCCGAGGAGTAAGTCCGATAGTCCTTTCCAAACAAAACTTGATGACCATCTTTCTGCAGCTTCTCCACACGATTCTGCGCCTCCGGATCAAGTTGGTAGACATCGTTTGCGCTCTCCAAGGTGGTGGCGGTCAGGTGGCGCTCCGGATGAAGTTGCGCATAAGCGGCGGCGAAGCTGAAATTGCCTTCACCAAACAGAATCACTCTGGTTTCAAAGTCAGTAGTTGCAACTGCCGACGATTGTAGTTCACGTTGCCTTGCGTACCACCTGAGCCCGGCACTGCTACTAGGATAGCGCGGACCCCTAAGGACGAAGCCGCTTGTATCGCCTTCGGGGCGGATGGACCATCTTCCACCGCTGGTCGACATTCTAAACTTTTGTTTTCCCCGATATTTCAAACTCTAGTTTTTTTCCAAACACGCTCCAACACATTCATACTTCGTTCAGACATTCGATGTAAGCCTCGTTAACGCGGCTACCTTTGAGAGAACAATTTATGCGCATTCTATATGCTTGCGGTACTGCTTGCGGTTCAATTACCGTGCCCCCGTTTAAGGTTTTTCTCTCTATAGCAGGAAAGATCCACTTCTACTTTTTAGTCCTCTCCGCACTCACTTGTATTGGTGTGCTTTTCACCAATAATGCATAAGCATAGTGTTTGTCGTCATCCTCTGCCCCGCTCGCTCACGCCAGATGACTTCCGTACTTGCGAAGAACCTTTGCCTTTGGTGGCTTTGTTTTTGTTGCCTGGGTAGTTGCCGCTCTTCTCTGAGTCTAAACCAGAGAGCGGCACGCAAACGGTGTACAAAAGATGCTTTCCTCACCGTTGCGTTGGATTTAATATGGACTGATTGTCATAGAGTTTTTCTTATTTCCCCAGAAGAGCCTGCATCAAATGGAAATGATCCACGGAGAATTCACTCTTCAGCTGATTGCGTAGTTCAAGTTCTTCCATCCTGATCTATAAAAACAGTTTCAAAAATACCCTTAACACCACTTGCTCACACAAAAACCACCATTACAAGTATCAAATTCCAAAGTGGCATTTATAACGAGGTTGCTGCCACACGCCCGTTCCGCAAGACGGCGTTCCTTTCGTAAGAGATCGCTGACGCCACACTTCTTCTGCAAATCTTTCGAGTAGAAGCCGGCGTAAAAGTTCGCGCCGGCACTAAGGGCAACTGCAAGTCCTGAATCAAGTTCGCTACGGTTAGCCCAGTCCACGAGGGCTTGATGACACTCGTCGAACAAGAGTTCGGCATTGCCGACGGAAGGGGCGGTGTCTGCGCGAAACTTGATCCAGTAGGTAATTTGATCGATTGCCCGTAGAATTGGCGAAATGGAATAGAGCAAGAAGCTCTGTTGTGACAGCATGGTAGCAAAGTGAAACGAAAAAGCGTTTTGTTGTTGGACTTCCAAATGCCGGGCGACGGAGTGTTCGGCATGCGTTTTGTTGTTGGACTCCGCAACGTGTTCGTATGCCACCGGTTCGTTTTCATACATGCTGTAGTAGTCTTTGTCTTTGTCCTCGAGCAACAACACCGGAAGAAGACGGTCAGTCTCGTACAGCGCGGCGTAATTCCCTGCCAAGACTTGCGAAACGAGGCTCTCTGCAGAAAATTGGGCGTACTTGCCGTACTGATCCGGTCGGTAGCACTCCGGAAATTCTTCGTGTTCGTTGTCGCTATCTGTATTTTGATCGTCAAAAAACGTCATGCTTTTCGACGTAGCGAGACCCAAGAGAATCTCCGCTCCGATTTTTGCTTCCTGGCTGCAGAAGACTAGGAAGTCGACGATGAGTGCTGCGCTCTTACATGACGTGGGTAGCGTTCCTGCAGGCTTCCACTCTGGACGTGGGTCTTCTTTGACGTAGGGAAAATTGAAGATGACGATGTCAAATTCGTGCAACCCCCTCTTGTCATTAGTCCGCAGCAATAAATCCGTGGCGGGACGGCGCGCCCAAGATTCACGTTTCCACCCAAGGGAAGTTTGCCAAAGTCCCATTCGAGGGAAGTTTTCCCACCCAACTTGGTAAACATCGGCGGCCGTCTGGATTTCTCTATCTCCATTGAATATCTGCGATAATCTGTGTCAAAGTGAACTTCGTGACCGACGTCGCGGAGAGCGGCGACGCGCTTCCTGGCGAGCGGATCTCTGCAGAAGACGTCATCGGCGCTCTCCAAAGTGGTGGCAACCAAATGGTGTGTCGGGTTTCGAAGTGCGTATGCAGCTGCAAATTTGAATCCTCCTTCGCCAAACAGAATGACTTTTTTGTCAAAATGAAACTTATGAATTGCAGGCACCATGTTGCGGGATTTTGCTTTTTGTCTTCCACTGATTCATCTCTTTCGTTTTACGTATTAGTCGCATTACTGGGTGCTACGAAGAACCAGAAAAACTCGTCCTGCGTACGAAACACGAATGGAAAACTTCTGCTAGAAACATCGCCGGCGCGAGACTGTTCAACGATCTCCACGAGGATGTTGTTTTCTACAACAGAAATCAAAAGAGCTATGCAACAGCAGCGGAAAAGAACAAAACAACAGATATTGGAAGATCTAGATCTTAAACTCGCTGGCGCAGATGAGTAGCAAAAGTTTGAGTTTTATTTTATATCAGAAGCCCAAGGCCAAGCCCCCCTTCGAAGAGGTCGTAAATTTCAGATTTTCAATTATATATTATGAATGAACTCAACAGCCGTTCGGCTCCGGTTACTTTTGGTTCCAGAACAATAGAGGTGTACTCCAGTCGCAGTCGGGTTACTTTTCCTCCCATAACAGAACGGGTTCTGCTTCTGGCGATGAAGTCAACGTGTTGTCTTCCTTTCGTCTTAAACGTAGACCTTAACCTGGTCGTTCATTTCCAAATCTACTACAACAGAGATGGAGTACAAGCTGCTAACTTGCTAGTCCAACTCACACTCTCTGTTGGCATGCATTTGTCCAACACTACGTAATCTCATCTCGTCCCTGATGGTCGTGGTTTTCTCTTCTATTTTCGATAAAGCACAGACACGACGACGCATGAATCACTGTCAACATCGGTGCCAGCAATCTCATTTAGTTTTTCTTTCCGCCTCTCTTTTGATTTTTCGCATGAGCGGCTGCCTCGCTCAAAACTACCTTGACGGCCGCCTTCGTTCCCTTCGGGGATTTCAGCAGCCCGACCTTCGCCGCGCCGGACCGTATCTGCTCCACCTGGGCTTTCGGCAACCAGACGATTTTCTTCTTTTTCTCCTGCGAGTTTGTTCTCTGCAAATTCCAACTCGAAGAACCCAATCTCGCAGACTCCTTACTCGTAGCCGCGGTCGATACTTCCGAGACCGCTGTTCCGTTCGACGATTTCGACGCCGGGGAAGAACAAGAAACCGCAGTCTTGGAAAATTCATTCCCGTTCTTCGCACCCGTCGGCGACTCAGGCACTTGGGTGATTTTCGGCACCCAGATTAATTGCCGGCGCGGTTTGCGGTTGCTGTTCGGCCTGTTGCTTCGGTTATTGTTGTTGTACCATCTGCTTTTGCTGCTTTTATTATTATTGCCTCCGGGTGAGTTACCATTATTCGCCGCTGGGTTATGCGGCTTAAGCAACTTCCCGTTCTCGTGTAAAAGCACCACCTCGTGCTCTTCCTCCTCCCCTCCGGAGGAAAAATATTTCTCCCCCGCCTGCTCGTCTTCCTCCACGATTTCGAAAAACTGCGTGTCGCCGATAAAGAAGAAATCCGGGTTGCTCGTCCCAGCGGAGGAAGAGGAGGGGAGACGGGGCATAGCCATAGGAACGGTGGGGTCATGGTCATGCTCTACTTGTTGATCATGTTGTCGCGCTGCTTTTTCGCCTTCGGGTCCTCGTTGCATCTTCTTCTGTTGACTTCCTCCTTGAGCTGCTGTTTTTGGTCCTCGTCGGGTTTTCTTTGAGCCCCGGCGCACCAGCGCTGCGGCAGGGTCGTCTCCAACTACAGGTGAACGGTATGGCGAAAGCTTCAGAGGCCAAAAAAAAGTTCCTAAAAAGTTCCGTTCAAGATCCGATAAAGTTCCGATCAAGATCCTGTCCAGAGGACACTTTTTTGGCCACTTTTTTGCGCCGCCAAATCCATAGATTCTAGGCGGGGGAGGGGCCAGGAAAAGCGGCGAAAAAAGTGTCCTCTGGACAGGATCTTGATCGGAACTTTTGAAAATGGAGATGGCGGCCATGAACTCTGGAAAGTGGCCCCGTGCCTGGCCGAATTCCACTGGAGAATGCTCCTGAGCACAAAAATTGTGCCGCGGGGAGAAAACCCCCACCCTTGTTTGACATGCTTTCTGCAGGATTGGCCTGCCGATCCCCGCGACCCCAAGAAGCAAAACACTTGGCACCGCATCGCGCCAAAGGCCATCGCCTCTCTGCGGGCTCCCGGATGCTGGGCAGGTAGAATGCCTGCGGTCGAAACACCTCCGCGCCACCCCCTTTCCAATGTCCAAGACTACCGCGAAAAAACTACAGAAGCACACCAGAAGGGGGGGCAAAAGGACACGCTGGCCGCGGCGGGCGGCGCGTTCCCTGACGGCTGGCCCGCGCCAAGATTTGCGTGGCCGTAAAATACCGACATACCCCCGCACCAGGAAAAAAAATCGCGCTTCCCAAACAGGGCGGCCCTCGGGATAGGCTCGGCAGCTATGCGACACGCCCAGAAAAGGCCGCGCAAATTTGCTATACAAAGGAGGCAAAGCGAAGGCCAAAACATTGGGCCTGATTCGTAATTTCGGGGCGCCGAAGTAGCCCAGCGGCCAGGATCTTGATAGGATCTTTTTGGGATCTCAGACGAGCTGAAGTGGCCCGGCGTTCCGTGAGTAATTTCTTCGAGCCTCGACGCAACAGCGCTGCAGCAGGGTCTTCTCCAACTACAGGTTGGTATCAAAGAAAAAAAGTGTTACTGTTACACATTGCAAGAAAAAAGCCGAGTTTTTTCATACGTTCAGTAAGAATTTTTTTGGCGCGCAGGTAGGCGAAAACTTCTTTTCTGATGAATGACGCAGACATGCACATCACGAATGCAGCCAGCCATCGGCCCCCTTAGTTGCGTCGTACACTAGCTAGCTAAGGGCGCACCTATTTTGGCGCTCCGCTCCCAATGGCTGGCCCGGAATGCGGTTCGCTGGCCTTTTGTTTCCTGGCCCCATCCCATGACAACATGAAGCAAGGAATACAGATGGAAGGGGACTCGGTCACAACAGTGGCAAACCACCTCCGGTTGAACATTGGCAGGGTTTTGGTGGCCCTGTAGTCCGAGTGTTTCGCTATCAAGCATGCGCGGCTTGACTTGTATGCGAGACATGTTCTCAGACACCCACGGAGCAGGCTGCGCTCGCAGGATCCCTGCAAGTCAATCACGGACATGGGGCCAGCTTCTTTTGCGTGGTGTGCAAACTTGACGCAGAGCCTCTAGCTGAAGGCTTGCGCTTTCGCGTGTTTGCTTTCAGTCGAGGTGTTACACATTTCGAAAAAAAAACGGCAATCTCTTGCGCAAAATCACCCACATTTTGACCCTCCCTTGAGGGCTGGCCAAAGTTACACTTTTTGGTGTGTAACACAGCAGTTTTTTTGCGAAGCCCCACGGAATTCTGCGATTTACTGTGTTACACATTTCGCGTTGTATCAAGATTTCGCTCGGGGAGAAAAGTATCGAAGTTGGTTTCCGCCCGGTGAAAAAAGTGTTACACATGGAAAAAAAAGTGATACAGTTGCTATTTTTTCTGGCCTTGCTTTGACCCCTCAAAAAAATGCAGTGCGTATCACTTTTTTTTGCAATCCGGGTGGAAAGTTGGCTTTCGGGACAGGGCGTCGATTCGGCCAGGAAAGTGCGAATTACGTAGAGCCATCATGACCACGATGGGAAGGGAAAGGCTGGCACTGCAAAGGCGCCCGCTCGTCGCGTCAAATGCCAGCGAGCGCCGTCCTGCACTTTTCGCTCCCGCGCGTGTCGCCGTTGCGCAAGTCGGCCTGGAGGCAATAAAAACGGTCGCTGCGGTTCGTCAGGTTTGCGACTAAGTGAAACAGCAGGCATTGTCCCTCACAAGGTCGAAAGCATCGCTTTGACCTTGGCCCGCTCTATTGTTTCGCTGAGACATTCTGCCGCCGCCCTGTCTATCAGTCACTGTAGTTCTCAATGAGGTCCGCGACATGTAGCAGCTTGCCTTCTTAGCTATTCCAGTGAACTGAAGCAGCCGCAGCTACGTGGAGGCCTCCTTTTTGCCTGACACGAAAATGAAAACGCAATAGGCGTGACAGGTAGCCGCGGCTCGAAAAAAGTTCTAGCCTGCCCTTGAAAAAATACGCTATTTTCGCTGTCGTGTGTAACTGTAACACTTTTTTCCTTCGATAGTTGGGTTTTCTTCGAGCCTCGACGCAACAGCGCTGCAGCAGGGTCTTCTTGTCCAACTACAGGTTGGTGTTTCTGTAACTCAAAAGCAAACGGGCACTAATTTCTTTTGGAACATAATTCAAACCAATTTCAAAAGTTTCATACTTTCACACTCCTATGGGATGGGTGCTCACTATTTCTACCAGCCTCAGAGCCTATATCCGAGCGAGTGACGCCAAATTAGGCACCGGGCCAAGAGGCAGGGACCATGCTCATGAGCGCAAGGCAAAAAAGCCTACTGTGAACGGCACGGGGGCACGCGGTCTGCCCAAGGAAGCCCAAGAGTGTTCCTGTGGCTCTTCCTGTTGGGACCGTCACGGCGCCACATTCAGCTGGGGGAAGATCGGCGCCACTGGGCGGCCCCGCCTGGCACCACCACTATGTTGCGCCACGCTATACGATAGAGCTTCGGACTTCAGGCCGGCCTTTTGCGCCCCCCCCCAGGTCGCCAATCGGCAATTTCAAACTGGGATCGGGAATTTCGAATGGTGATCGAGATATTCAAATGGTGATCGAGATATTCAAACGGTGATCGAGATTTTCAAACGGCGATCGAGTCCATCCCCCAATTTCAAACGGTGATCGGGATTCGGTCAGAAATTGGTCCAAATTCGGTCCGTATATTAGAATCTGTGTCCGGACCGATTTTGGACCAACTTCTTGACCGAATCTCGATCACCGTTTGAAATTGGGCCGCCGAGAAAAAAGTTGGCGCGGCCCCGAGTTAAAACCCTTACTGCAGCAGACACGCCAAAAGGTTGGGATTACGGTGGGAAGTCATCGGCTGAATGGCAGCGACGAAGATTTTGCAAAAGAAATAGAAGAAGATGTGCAAGCTGGAAGCCGCCGTAGGCTTGCGCGCCGGGGGCAAAAAGCTCGACAAGGGCCGAATCATCTCGCGGCCAGAGCAGCCCAAATGACTTTGCGGCCCCTTAAAAACGGCCGCAAACAATTGAACCCAAAGTGGATGACGGCTGAAAAGGCAGGCGAAATGGGCCACACATGGCACCCTCGGGCCCCATCCAGCGGAAACCTAGAACGCTGCCCATGAGTGGCGTCGAGCGGGCGCAAAAGCGTCGCCCTGAGTGTCCCACGCGGTCCATGGTTTGCTTCTGTTATAAGGGAGGAAGGCCGTCAATCCGAAACTTTTGAAATCGGTTGGAAATGCGTTATCTTTACTTTTAGCGCCGGCTGCTTCTGAGTAGCCTTCCACAAGGAGCTGTTTCTTCGAGCCTCGACGCAACAGCGCTGCAGCAGGGTCTTCTCCAACTACAGGTTGGTGTTTCTGGATCATCAGGCTGGAAGATGAGTTTTTGTCCAAAAGTCCATCGTTGGTACTACAGCTTGTTTCATGGTGCAACTCTTCCACCGGCGTAACGGTTGCGTTCGTTCCAATAGTCGTACTCCTGGCATCATCATCATGAAACTCCAATTCGACCGGGATCCAATCCATGTTGGATTTTGAAGCAGATTTCAGGTGTTTGGGAGACGGACTGCCGTCCAGAGCAACCCAGTCCTGGTCGTACAGACAATCGGAGTCCATCTTGGGAAACGGTTTTTATTTTCTGGGAAGTAGCAGATGAAGGGGGAAATCTGTACGATGGCTGGAACTTCTAGGAGGGTAGGCTAGTTCTTGATCATCCTCATGATCATGTCTGGGGGTGGGTAGACGAGAACGAGGGAAGCACGCATGAAAAACCGCTGGTGCATTTCTAACCTGCCTTTAGTTGAAATTGATGGCAATCATGTAGAAATGGGAAATCTCTAGCTACTACTTTTATTGTGTCGATAAGGAAGTATCCGAAAACGTGTTCCGTACTAGGTTCAGCGAAAAGCTAGTGCTGACCGACTTGATCTTTGAAACCAGAAATAATTGAAGGATAGCTTTAAAGATGCGAACGGCACGTGCCTGCCAAATGAACACTCTTGTTTGACACACTGGGTTGATGTCGACCCTGTTACTGCTGCACTGCTCTGAGAAGTTTTGAAGTCACAATTTTGCACGATATGTTCAATGCTCTCATACATAGAACGTTATTTTTATTCACATGATGAAATTGCACGGAGCAAACATGACAGAATCTCGGCAAAGGCAAAGTAGACGCCTGCATTCTCTGATAAACAATACCTGTATTCTGTATTAGAGCTGTATGCTTTCCTTGAAACTCAGTCTTTTACTTTTTCTCATCATTGGATATTAGTGGTCGATATATATGCCTTGTCATGTCAACGTCAAAGGTTCCTTTACTATATTCTCTCTGTCATTAGATTTTGATTTTCATTGTTGTTGCGATGCAAAATTATGAATTCCCGCCTGCTTTATTCACAACAACTCCTACCCCCTCGCCAGATACGGGGGCCAGGGTTGTTTGAAATAAACCGCAGTCTCGTATTCCTGAGGCACTTTGATCTTCCCCAACACCTCTAAAGTCGCCTTGATTCCAATCCGGGTGATGTATGCGTCAACGATCTTCAGGGGCTTTTTCAGATGTTTCGAAATTTGTTCCACAAACTCGCTCCTTAGCGTGATCACCAACGGGTCGCGAAACATAGACTGCAGCTCACGCAGTCCGATGGGCTTTTTCTGCAGATTTCTCTTGTCCGACAGAAAGGACAACGCTATCGGGTTGCCGCTGTGCGAAAGCGAAGTAATGGTTGACTCGTAAGCGATGGTGTAGGTTTCGAGAAGAGTTTTTGTTTGGTGGTGTTGTTCATCATTATCTGATGCTGGGACCGAGGCTAGTTTGTTTTGTTGTGCTTGTTGTGCTCCTGCATGTGTACTGCTTCCGCCGCTGCGCATCGCCATGATTTCATCTGGCGAGTCTTGTTCTAGTGCCTGTTGCTCAACAACATGAGCAGCTCCCGCGTGTCTCTGATCCAGCACCTGGAGTGCCACCTTTCGCGCCCTCTGCAGTCTTTCCTGTGCATCGTTGATAAACTGGCCATCCTGCTCCGCTTGGTCGGCCATCTCCGGGGGGAAGACTTGCGGCTTCGGGACTCTCGTGCCATGCTTCACCGCTTTCGCTAATTCCTTGATTTGCCTATCCAAGCTCGTTAGGAAAAAATTCGAGCTCGCTTCCACCGGCGTGCTGTGGATCCGAATATCGGGGTCGAGGAGAAAAACTTCCAGTACAGTGTTGTCTGCATCTCCTTCCCTTCTATTATCTTTGAACAGAACTCGCACGACCTCCAGTTCCCGGGCGGGGAAAATGGTCCGGAGAGACGCGGAGGCGGATTGCGCGAGAAATTGGCGGTTGTTTTCTTCCACTTCGTTATGCAGTTTGTTCGCATCCTCCCGGTTCCAGAGACACGGGTAGTGCTGGCAGAAGTGCTGCTTCTGGAAGTTGCGCCACGGGATTTTTTCGATGATGGTACCTGATAAAAGCGATAGATTTGTCTCGTGTTGTCATGACTTAAACTTCTAAGTTAGTACGTACGCACATTCTACCGGTTGTGACAATCCATCAAATGTGGCAACACCATATTTTGTCTAGTATACGCAATTCTCATACCGATTTCCGTCGTGTCCAAGCATCTTGTCCACGGGCCGCCCCACTGCGACGCCCTCTTGTAGAACATTTCTACCGACCCCGTTTTCTTGTAGCAGAGTCGGTGCGACGGCGCGATCTCCATGCCGGGGGAGATGAACCGCCTTTGGTCGTGTAGAACCAAGGGCGTCAAGTAGCTTGCTTCGATGGAAAACAAAGACCGCTGGTTCAAAGCAATCCCCTGGTCGAAGAATTTTTTGAGAATTCCGTTCTCGTACTTGCTCGCGACGGTGACCATGAAGTTCATTGTTTCCCACACAAACTGCGGCGACGGGTACCATTTCAACCTTCCTCCGTTCAGCCGGCCGAGCAGGGCGGTTGACAGATGGGACGTGAGACAGGACTGGGAAAACTGGACTCGAGTATTTTTGCGGGGCTTGCTAGTCGTTGTACCGGTCTGGGACCTGCGAGGAAGCAAGCAAGTGGAAGTGCAAGAGATTGGACTCATTTATGGTCAAATCCATATCCAAATTAATCTACTACTTCTAGCGTAGAAGCATCATGGACCTCCTCGTCGTCACACTTTATTCAGTGGTTCTGGTTGTGGGGTCTACTTCTACAGAAGAAAACATCCGGGGCGCCGCTACTACGAAAAAAATAGACGTACCTGTCATCCCCACCCCCCGCAACCGGGCACCTCGGATCCCCCAGCAGATCCCGGAAAATGATGCCTGTGTCCACTATGAGATTGCACAACTCCCCCTCCCCCTCTCTCATTTGTATAGCATGAATGGCAACACAAACATCAGGAAGAATGTGGGTTTTGCATGACAAATTAACACTGGAGTGTAGTGCTATTTGGGCTACCAGAACTTGTCATGGAAACAGTGCCACAAGGCAGCGACTGGATTTGAGATTTTGCATGACAAATGAGGGGGAGGGGAAGTTGTGTACTGTCATATCCACCGCCAACTGCGCAAAAGGTCCTTCCAACAAAGCCGCCCCCGCTTATCAAATGTAAAAATGTCTGGGTCTGGAAGAATGCAACTTGTCATGCTAAATCTGAATCAGGCAAAAAACTGTGTTGCATGATTGCCAAAGGTTGTGCACTTTTGACCTAATCGAGAGGCAGTTTCTCATGCAGGATAGGCATTGGAAAGGTTTCGCAGAATCTGTCATGCTATGTCCTACATACCAGACCTCTTGGGTTATGGAAAACCTGCATGACAAGTCTGGCAATCTTCCAGACCCAGACATTTTTGCAATCCATACCGCTTCGTTCGCGCCAAAATCCTCCGGGTTCGCTCTTGCGACCGCCAAGAAGGCGGTTGTGTACTCCACCACGCGTGATGCGACAATCACCGCGGTCCACCACTCGTTTCCGACCGTCCAGGACTTGACGACTTCCTTCTCAATTTCAGAAAGCTTCTCGGACAAAAAAGACTTGGAACTACCCTTGTTTTTCATCTCTGCAGCTCCTCCGGGAGGTTTCATCTTGGAAGATGATTGTGAGGACTTCGCGTCCTCGCTCGCCGTCCCACCTGAAGATGTACTAGAGCGCCGACGTTGATCTTTGCTATTTTCATCTCTGATCGACGAGGTGGAGGAAGCGCTACCAGTACCCGCGATGGAAGTAGTAGTACCTGATGCAGCGCCATCTGGTCCTGGTGCGTCCGACTTCTTAGGAGCATCATCCCCAACAGATGAATCAGGAACTTGTTTTCTCGTGTGTACCATGTGTCTGACCACCAACCCCAACGCTTCCTGAAAATCCCACAAGAAATCGATTCTCCTCTGCTTTCTCACCGAATCGTACTCCGAGTAAATCGGCTGGTGCAGGAACTCGCTGCTCTGGCGTTGCCATAACAACACGAGTTTCCTTGTTTCCATCGTGTTCAATTTGAGATCCCAATTTTTCTCCACAATTGCGGCAAACCAAGCGGCATCCGCCTGGATGTAATACGCGTTGAGAACCGATCTCAGGTTGAAATCGGCTAGGGATTGCGGTGGACTCTGTGGTGCATCAGGTGGAGGTGGGGCGGGGGCAGTAGTAGTGGTTTCACCTCCATTTCTATCTCCGAAAACCTTGCTCCACCACCACTCGTTCCAAGAGACTTTATTGCAGGCTGCCGAGGATGAGGACCCGGAGCAAGAGTCTGAGAACGAAGTACTAGTCCCCGAAGTCGTGCCTTCTTGTCCATTTTTCCGTTCTTTGGTAGAAGTTCCAGCACCGCTTATTTTCATCATCTTCATCTGTTCCGCGGCAATCACCGGTGCGGAGATGTGCAGTATGGAGGAAAACGTATCGTGCGCGACCTCCCGCGGATCCGCGTGCGTCGCGATCACCTGCGCGAGGGAAAGCGCCGCGTCAACCTGCTCGAGGTTGTGCGCGGCCTCCTTGTGAATCTCTTCCTCGGAAAGTCTTTGCAGCGCCTCGCTGTTCGGTGTGCTGGCACCAGCACTTGTTCTCTGTGCACTAGCTTCTGCCGAGGAAGCAGAACCAGAATTGTCCTGTTGAGAAGCGCCGAGGCCTTTTATCTTGTTGAAAAACGCCCAGTCCTTCTTGCTGCAATACACCCTTGACAAGCCGCGAAAAGCATCCATCCACACTTTACCATATGCCGGTGCGCGGCCAGCCGTTTCCAACGAGAAAACGATGGCACCGGCTATCAGCCTCGCACTCAACTCCTCCACCCGTTCGCCGAAATCGATGGGCTTGTTTTCGAACTTGTCCTCAAGTTTCTCCCTTTCTTTTTGGTATTTCGTGTGCCTTTTGTTGTGCCACTTTGTCAGTGTGTTGCGGATCGAAGCGAGCTCTTGATGTTCTTGCGAGCTTGATGATGGGGGCGAGTTAGCCGCAACTTTGTCCTCTGGAGAAGTGGTCCCCGTCGTACCAGCAGATGCAGCTGATGGAGAGAAAAGCACCGCATTCACCACAGCATTGAATTTCTCTTTCTCCTCCCTCCCAACTTTCTTCGTCACACCCTTGTGAAACGCATACGCGGCCCGGGCCGTGCTCCGGCTGTTAATGAAGATCCGAACTTCCCGCCCAGCAGCTGCTTTTTTCCCCTTGACTGCCTCGCCCGTTTATCAAATGTAAAAATGTCTGGGTCTGGAAGGTTGGAACTTGTGATGCTAACTTTCAACTCTAAAAAAATATGTATTGCATGACCAGCAATAGGAGCCCAGTTTGTGCCACGCTGGGAGTACATTTGTCATGCGGGATAGGCATCAGGAAGGCCTCTAAAAATATGTGATGCCAGATCATGCATTACAGACATCCTGAGTCATGTAATATATGCATGACAAACATGGTAACCTTCCAGACTCAGACATTTTTACATTTGATACCGTTTTCCGATCTTTTTCCTTCACTGCGAAGTCGAGCTGTAACTGCGGGGCGGAACGTATGGAAGCATCAGGGTTGAAATCGACAAAGTTGAAATGATTTGTCATGCATAAAATGGATGCCAGTTGGAACCCAGTTTCTAAATGGCGCAAGACAAATTTCGGTGGTCCCTAAATCCACTTTGTCATGCTGTTTAGGCAAAGAAGAGCGATTTTCTCATGTTACTTTAGCAGCTCGAGCTGTAACCCCAAACAGGCTAACAATCTGCCTCACTTGCCTGCTCTGCAACACACGTGCCTCGGGCCATGCATTTTATGCATTGCAAATTATTTGCAACTTTGACGATTTCAAACCTGACGCTTCCATAGAACGATCGCTCGTCACGTACTCGGGGAGCAGGACGTGGCTTAGATGAGCTGCACTGCTGTCCTGTTTATTTTCACCAACAAGAAAGTTCGGATCGTTGTCGTTCACGGAGAAATCCCCCTCCAGAATGCTCTTTTTCTTATCCACAGTCTCCTCCATCCGGATCCAACTATTGACCGCAGTTTTCAGTTCCTCATCTTTGACATTCGCCAAATCCGCGACGCGCTCGTACCCGTCGGGAGGAGAAGCTGCACCCGGGATCGCGCTCCCGGATGGGTGGGTCAACATCTCGGAAGAACTAGAAGCTCTGCTACTCCTGGCGGAAGTAGATGTTGAACCACTTGTCTTCTCTTTGTTCATTGTGTGACCCCCCGCAGTCTGTTCCTCTATCGCCAGCTTGTTCCTGGTTTCTGTCACCGCGGAGGGAGGTAAAGCGTCCACCAGTTTCTGCATCAAATCACTCGAAATCGCTGCGGCGGCTTTTACCGAGTTGTCGTGCCCGGCGCCGACATATCATAAGGCAAATATGTCTGGGTCTGGAAGAGTCATGCTGCTTTTGCATGACGCAGAAGGTCTGGCATGGAATCTCTAGCATCACAGGTTTCGAGAAGCTTCCGCAATGCCGAATCCGCATGACAAACGCCCCACTTTGGAGGTGACAGAAAGTAGGCAGCTTTTGCTGCCTACGCATGAAAAACTTTTATGTGTTGTGAAACGCGCATCACAAGTTTGCATTCTTCATCTTCCAGACCCAGACATATTTGCAATGCATACAACAACCGGAGCCACCGGCGCGCGCTGCGGAGGCGCGCTAGCGGCGTTGAAGAAGGAAGAGGCGAGAATGTCTTGGACAGTATCTGCGGTGAAAAGCTTATGCAGATTGTCAAAAGCCAGCTTTGCGGTATGCTCTTCGGCGCGGTTCATTGTAGTAGTAGCTCCACGCGGCGCGTCTGGATGTTGTTCACCAAGTGACCAGTCTTCGTGCACGTCCGAATGTAGTTTTCTGTGCTGGGAAGAAGTCGTACCTGTACCTCTACTTCCCGAGGGTCGCCCTGGAAATGTGTCCAAGAAGTGCGCAGACGTTTGCTGATTTTGCTCCTCTGGATCCGCTGCGGTGGTAATTGTCTCTGGCCCGTGTCCGACCAGGGAGAGGCGGCGGAAGTTTTTAACTAGCGAATCTGCATGATAATCTGCATCGTCCGACAACGGGCCAGGAGTATCATGCGAAGCCGAAACTTGAGTCTCTTCATACTCATCCTGATGGACCACAGCAGCATCTGCACGCGCTTCATCTCTACTCTGCAGCCGCGACAAAACTAGGCTGGGCGAAGCAGGTTCAACTTCTTCAATGTTCATTCTTCCACCATCTTGTTCCTCCGCCTGCGTTTTCTCGTCTTCCGGCAATATCCGCAAAACCCGTTCCAACACCTCCACCAACACGACCCGAAAAACCCGCCGGTCGATGCACAAATCTTTGAACCGCAGTGCCGCCGCGAACAACGGCCAGACCAGTTCTTTGCGAAAAAGCCGAAACATGCGGATCCACTGTGCACGCTCCTTTTTGTAGTTTCTCATCTTCAACATTTGGTGCAGGTCTGTGTGACTTGCAGCTCCGGTTGCAGTCGCGCCACCGGTAGTTGATGTACTTGAAGACTGTTCTTCCAGAACAAAGATCTTTGGCAACAGCAGTTCGTCCAACAAAATCTCCATTAGGGCCTTTTCCTGCACAATTTGGTTTCGTTCCCTCTCTGCCTCACTCGCGCTGGGCGGCGTGTGCTTCCAGGGTTTGTTGGCTCCCTTGAACAAGGACTCCACTAGCAAGATCATGTTTTTCATCCGCCCAACGTGCTTGTTCTTTGTGTTTGTTCCCTCTGGTTGTACTTCTTGTTCCGCCGCATCCTCCGTCGGGCGAAACTTGCGGCAAACGGTTTTGTCCTGCGGGTCGCCGTCGATCGGGTTGAACTTCGCGCCCACCGCGTTGGTTTTGTCGATCATCTCGTTCAGCAAGTCATCCAAGGACAGCAGCGCCCCATCCGCACCCATCCTCGTATCAAAGGAAAAAAGTTCGTCACGATCACTCATGCGCATTTTTGCAATACAAAATTGTTTGTCATGCGTAAAAATGCATCACAGCCAAACTTCATTAGGGATTTCCCTAGTGTTTCTGCAATACAAGGAAAGTGTGTGATGCTGAGAAAATTTGTAATGGAAAGCCTGCAAGTTAGTGACTGTGACAAACTTTTTTCTCTCCATACCTCGCCCACCGGTCGCACTGGTTGGCCACGTGCTCCCCGCTCGTGGAGATGCAGCGGGCTTCAATCGCTAAGCGGAAGGTCTTATCAAATGCAAAAATGTCTGGGTCTGGAAGGATGCAAGGTTTGTCATGCACATTTTGCATGACTCCTGATGCCTGCGATGCATGCCCTAGCATCACAGATCTTGTGAGGGCTTTCTGATGCCTTTACCGCATGAGAAATGCCCTCTCGCCGGGGCCAAAACCAGACCTCTTTTGCTGTTCATGCAATACAGATTTTTGGATAATGCAGACGCAGCATGACAAGTTGCATTCTTCCAGACCCAGACATTTTTACATTTGATAGGTCTGGCTGGTCGGCAGGAGGTCGGTTTTGGACCCGATGCACCAGTCCGGGATCTGTTGTTTACATTGGATCAAAACACGGGGGGTGACCGGCTGGCGCAGGGGTTTCGGGACCTGGCGCCAGGGTTCTATCTTGCGCTCTTCCCTGCTCATTTCATCACGAGCTGATGAAGCAGTAGTAGACTTTTGTTCGTCGCCATTTGAGGCTGCTGTAGTAGTCCCCTCTACTTCGTCTGGATTCATCATCTTATCGTAAGTATCCTGCGCATAGCGTCGTTGATCGTAGGCCGTTTTGAGAGGCGTCTTTTTGTGCTTGACCTGGGAAGCTGCACCAGCTGCTTCTGCACCGGCCGTTTCCGCGAAAAAGCCGCCTTCCACGAGTATTCCTGGGTTGTTGTATGTCTCTGGCCAGGTAAAGATGTACGGAGCAGTTTTTGTGTTGCCAGTGGTCGACGAAGCAGAAGAAGTCGCACGGCCGTCAATGACGCCGCCTCCGACTGGAAGAGGTGGAACCCCTGGTAAGGGCGTAAAGGGTAAATCCTTTGCGAACTCTGGCCAGAGGGGGCGCCACTGATCTAGACCCTGCTCTTGCTGTTGCTTGCTGTGATCTTGATTTTTCCCCCGAGTTGTACTCGTGTCAGACGAAGACGACGCCGTCTTGTGCAGCTGCGCCCCTTCGGCTTTGCTGCACGTGCTACTCCTTGGCTCTATCGCAGTTTGAAGCGGATCGGCGGTAAAATCTTTCTCTTTGTGAGTCGCGGAGAGAATGCGCAGAAACGACCCGCGGAAGTCTTCGTCATCTTCGGACACAAACGGTGCCGCAATCGCAGATGCATCACGAAGCTCAGCGGGACCGCTGTAAGTCGGGTGGGCAAAGGTAGATGAAGCAGGATCTTTATTAGCGCTTTTTTCTTGCACTTGCTTGTGTCTTTTGCTATTCTGCCTTCGCTTCCACCGTTTCTGCCACTCCACCGCCTCGACGTTTAATTGCACGAGAACGGATAAAGTTTCGTCTTCAGTCAGGATCAAAATTGGCGTTTGTAACAAATCCCTCGCGGCCACTGCTTCCTCCTTCACGACGGACAAAATTGTCTCCACGTCGCTAGTACTTCTCGTAGATGTTGTTTTTTCGTCTATTTTTCCATTCGCACTATACTTGTCCTCCATGGAGTTCTTGTTGTTTTCTACCGCGTTGTGTAACAGCCTATACGCCTCGGACTCTTTGATCCGCGGTAGGCTTTTCTTCTTCTTCTCTTCATACCCAGGTGATCCGAAGAACGCATCTGGCCACAGCTCCGATTCCAGCACCTTCGGAAGTCCTTGGACGCCGGTGAAGTGGGCGGGGTCTACTTTCTTGGAAGTCTTTCTCCCAAGAACATCTTCCGGAAGAAAAGCGTTTTCTTCATTTCCGATTCTTTCCCCAACCGCTGCGAGCGCGTGTAACTCCGCCAACACCGGGGCCTCGATTTTGTCTTGCAAAAATTCCGCGGCGAGCGCCTGGGTCCTCTCAAAGACGTACTTGCTCCAGGCGAGGGCTAGTCTGCTGTTTTTCGTGTTCGCCTGAAACTTTTCGACGATCACTCTCAGTTTCGGCGCTGGAGATGCTGGTGGAGAGGAACTACTGGTGCGGGAAGAGGAGTACAGGCTGCTTGGAGCGGCTGCACGCGGTGTGGATGAAGATCCTGGGATCGGCTTCTCTGGTCTAATCGGTCCCGCCGACAAAACATCACGAAATCCGGCAAAAGGATTTACTTCGTGAGGAGCCGGTGAAGTAATTTTGTCAGCACGCTGCGCCGCATGATGGTGATCCGAACTCGGCCTCAGGCGAAACTGCTCCTCCCTCGCGAATTGCGCAAATTGCTCCGTGCGAACCATCGTCACCCCCGAAGCGAATCCCTTCTCGTAGTCACGCATCGCCGCTTGAGATAAAAAAGTTGGTTCACGTAGTTCTACAACTCCGCTGGTGCCCCCTCCAGCTGCAGCTCCACCAACATCGCCTTGCTGTCTCAAAATGCCCGCTGGATGCAACGCGCCTTGCCTCACCCTCTCGTCCTTTTCCGCTTCCTCGTGGATCGCCTTCCGGAGGTGCGGCTCAAGCAAATCAAATTTCGTGACCAGATGCTTCCGGAGATTTTCGTCCCATTCGGCGGCGAGAACTTCGGCGGGTGATAAGTGACGGAGAAGAGCGGTCAGGTCATCGACAACGGATTCTTTTTTTGAATGGAAAGGCGTGGAAGAGTCAGAAGCTGCTGTTCCCGCGGCGGCCTGCGCGCCATTCAGCGCAACAGCTTGCTTCCAAATCAAATGCCCCCCGTTCTCCTCGTAGTTTTGACTCTTACTCACCTCCAGCAATGGCGTGTTTGTCCGAACTTTGGAAATCAGGACCGTGTCGTAGCCGTGATCAACGACCAACTCCTTTGCAGTTTCCAATGCGTTTTTGCAATCGACAAAACCGGCCCACGGGTAGAGCGTACTAGACTGTCCGCCGGCAGTTCTCTGTTTCTGTTTTTTGCCATCGCCATGATCTGCTTTACCGGACGAAGCTGCTGCACCGTGTGTTTGATGCTTGTCGGACTGGATTGCCGTGATTTGGACGAATGTCAGGTAGCTGTCGTGATTCATCAGCCTGTTCGGGTCTTCGACAAAGTCGGGTTTTATATGATCCGGAGATTCATCATCAATCTCAGGGAGATCTTCGCTCCCATGATCCTCCGCATGGGGCGCCCCAACTGGTGCACTTACAACAGGGTTCTTGTGTGGCAGCTGCGGTCCCTCCGCATCAGGATGAAAAAGTTCTGAAGTGGAAGTGAACGTCGACGAAAGTTCCTGCAGAGGGCTCAAGTGAGCTCCGGCCATGAAAGAGTTGTGACTTCCCGAACGGGCTGTACCTGCACCACTACCATCCAAAACGCTGGCGTCGCCACTCTCCACAGAAGATGTAGATGATCCGTCGTACCGAATTTCCTGTTGTGGTAGTCGTCGGGCTGCTTCTGCACCGTTCGCGTCTACTTCTATCGGCCCTTCAGCTTGAAATTCAGCATTAATATCTTCATCGTCGTCACATATCTCTCCCTCGTCACCTGCGTCAGCAGGAGGCTGAGGATTTGTAGTTCCGTATGCACTGCAAAAGTATCGTACTCGTACTAATCGCATTTTTGCATTACAAACAAATTTTTCTGTCAAGTTAAATCCGCATTACAAATTTCATTTCTCATAACATACTGAGGGAATTTGTCATGCCATTTATATATACTAGTACGATGCTTTTGCAGTGCATATTCCGGCACCACCTACAACTTCCCCTGCAGCTTTCCTCACTTTCACACGACCGAAACCCTCATCGTCTTGCAAGTGGTCCAGCCGCATGATCGCCCGTCGCTCGACGTTCACTGTCGCGTCCGTAAAGTAGTGCAGCATTCTTAAGCTGATGCCAAACACGCTCCGCGTGCTCGTCGCCTCGACCTGGTGCCGCATTTCCCCAAGTAAAGCGTCCCGCTCCGCCCAGTAGCGGGAAAGCAGTCCCCACTCGCCCGCACGTCTGGCAGCGGTGTCGCCATCGAAACGCTTCGATTTTTCGAGTAATAAATCCACCTGCGGCTTCCAGGCGTACGCGTAACTCCACTTGCGGAGATAGAACTCGGCGCGCTGCAGCATGATCTCTTCGGTGTTGGGGGTGTCGAGGGTTAGTTCGAGCTTGGAAGTGGATGATTGCTGGGCAGAACTGTAAGTAGCTGCTGCACCACTCCCGGTGTAATGATCCTCCTGCTTCCCATTTCTTTGATAAAGTGAAGGTGAAGCTGCAGCTGATTTTTTTTTGCATTTCTTTCCTCGCTGTTGACCACTCTGGCTTTGCACGGCAGATGCTGCAGATGCACTTCCGCTTTCTCGTCCTTGTTGCTCAAGTCCTAACCCGCCTGGCGTCACGGTGTCCATGGCATGTGTCCAGTAGTTGTGAAAGCCTGTTAACACTGTCTTGATTCCCTCGTGCACGGCAGCTACCGGTTTGTAGAGAGTACTGCTAGCTGCACTTCCGAAAACTCCGGTTGTTCTACTTTTTCCAGCCATGTTTGCAAACCGGTTCAGCAACTCGTCCGCAGAAAGCAATTTCCGCATCTTCGGCAAGCTCCGGACTGAATTTGGCCCGGCTAAGCGGTCTTCAAACTTTTTCACGAATCCTCCATATTTATTCGCATCCATCGCCGCATCGTCCGGGCTGATCAGATGGTACACGACCGGGTTGTTCCCGCCTCGGCTTGGATCGTGCTTTTCTCCGTGTGCAGCTTTTCTGCTGCCTTTGTCCTTCTGCAGTTCCCTCGCAACCATCTCCGTGATGGTACTACCCGGTTTGTTCAGGCGCAGGTTGTTGCTGTTTTCATCCGCTATGCCCTTCTCATCCAGCATAATGGGAATCCGTTGGTACCACTGCTCCACCTCGTTTTGCATCCAAGCGCGGCTGCTGCTACTAGGAACTTGTTGCTGTGCAGCCGAAGAAGATCCGTGCTGTTCACTTTCACCAGTGTTTTCGAAATTGAAAAGCGAAGCCATAACCCACTCCCCCATGTCGGAAAAGCCCATGCCGGGGAAAAACATTTCCACGGGGTTTTTGTCCCAGACTTCTTGAATTTCCGCACCCGACATGCTCAGCAGATCCTGCTGCCCACGCATCACGTTTTGGGAACCGCTTAGGAACGGTATCTCGTAATACCGCGCCGCGTAGCAAGCATAGATCCTGATGTGCGTAGCAGCCGACATCGCAAGCAACATCGTGGCGACGCGGAAGCTCGCAGCGACAGTCCGGAGCATCCGTATCCTGTGCAAAAGTATCGCACTCGTCTTTAACTTGTATTGCAAACATGCATCACATCAGAAAAAAAAATTCCAATTTTGTTAAGGTAAAAACGCACGTCGTTCGTGCTAATTCGAGTCATTTTAGTGCAAAACTGGTCTTGTTAAGTCAAAAACAACAAAAACGACGGAAAAGCGCACGGCGGGGCCACTTAGTTAAGCGCTAAAACTGCCCCCATGTGCGAAAATGCGACAAAAAAAGGAAAAAAGTCGCGAACTGATGAAAGTAACGACGTAAGTGCGCATAAGGGCACATTCGCAAAGAGCTGCGAAATTCGAAAAAAAATGCCAATTTTCTTAAGGTACAAACGCACCTTTTTGGTGCTAATTCGGCTCATTTCACTGCAGAACAGGCCTTGTTAAGTCAAAAAGAACGAAATGGACGGAAAAGCGCACGGCGGGGCCACCTAGTTAAGCCTAAAAATTGCGCAAATGCGCCAAAATGCAAAAACTAAGGCGGAAAGGGCGCAAATTTCTCAAAATAAGCACAAAAGTGCGCCACTTTGCGCATTCTCCAAAAATGCGCAAAATCGCAACAAGGCGCGCGCCTATGATTTTGCAGCGGTTCGCAGCGCGTTGGCGCTGTCGCACACGTAGAGCTAACTCCCGACAGTTTGGTCGTACTTAGGACCAAAATGCGCCAAAAGAGCTCCCATCAGCTCAAAAAGGTGCGCAAATGCACCAACAGACGCAAACCAAAGCAAAAACGGTCGCAAAGCCATCGAAATAGGCGAAAAAGTGCAACACTTTGCAAATTCTCCAAAAAGGCGCAGAAGCGAGACAAGGCGCGCGCCGATGATTTTGCAGGAGCAAGTCCGCAGAGCGGTGGCGCTATCGCATCCGCCAGGTCGATTCCAGATAGTTTGGCCGTTCTGAGGACCAAAATGCGCCAAAAAAACTTCCTCCAGCTTAAAAAGGCACAAAAACGCGACGAAGTGAACAAGATACGGCAAGCAGGCGGCGAAAATAACCAGCCCCAGGCAGTTTGTTCGTTTTTAGGCCCAAAATGCGCCGGAAAAGCTCCGCGTAGCTCGAAAAGGCGCAAAAACGCAACAAAATGAACGAAGTACGGCAAAAAAGCAGCGGAAAGACACCCAAAAAGGAAGACGAAGGCAAAACATGGACAGCGTTGCCACTTTTAGCGTAAAACCCTAGCAACCGCGGCGCCTCTCATGGATGCTTGGTAAGTCGGCGCTGGCACTGCAGCGCAGCAAGGATAGTAAGTCCACAAATGCAGACAAGGAGCGAAAAACGCCGCCGCGTCACTGTTCTGCGCCCTGAAGTGAAGATAAACGCCACACGACCAACGCGCGAAACGAAAAACGCCAGAAAATAAAATGCCCGCAACAAGAAGCAGGCCGCTGGCTGACACGCCGAACCGGCCTCCGGGGTTGCATTACATGGAAAACCAACGAAGAGCCTCGCTTGGTGCTAATTCAGGGCGCTTACGCGAAGCAGTCGCGCCACTAGCTCTGGAAGCAAAGTGCGAAAGACACAGCCGGCGCCGCGTGGTTTGCCCCGCGAAAAATTCGACACGAAAAAGAGGAACGGGGCGCCAACTGCAGAGGCGGGCTGCTCTTCATGTTCCTACTGCCATAAAATAGCAAAAATGCAAAAAAAGCCCCGGCAAAATAAAGCACAAAGCGCCACGGAGCCGCGCGCCTTAGCTCCGACATGGAGACCCGCGCCGCGCGGGCAACATAAAAAACGCACAACACCCCAAAGGCGCCCACGTCAGCACGCGAGCCGGTGGCGGGGAAAACGAATCGCCTGCCGAGGCTACACTACACGCAAAGAAAGAAAAAGCCGAAGGGGCAGGGCAAAGTCAAGCCTTTCGCGAACATGGGGAGGGCGAAGCCCCCCGGCAGCGCAAGCTTGCGCGCGCTGCAAAAATTAAAAG